CATTCTTGTACCAGGCTTGGATGATGCATGAGATTTGATAAGTGATCCTCTACAACTCATGGGAACTGGATTTTTGATTTGTTAGAATTATCTTAAAGAGTTTTGATGTTCTGTTTGATGTGAAAAGTTCTATTTAGACAAATGTTTGCTTGAAATTGTTTCAGACAAGTTTTTCTGTTCAATTAATTTTCTGTTTCTGTGTGCGATTATTGTCTCTGCTAACTTGGTATTTATAAATTCACATTGCTTGGGCATGGCTATTGTACAGTGACAAATTATCTATAGCTAATATGATGAATCCAGTTGATCTCATGTACCTCAAGACAGGCTTATCTAGTTGACGTCAAAACTTGGAAAATTCAAGAATAAAAATTGAAAACTGTAGTCATGTGGCAATTTTCATTTTATCCAGTCTAATAAACACTCTAATCTTTAAGCCCTTGTTTGGCCCCCATTTTCTAGAAATATTTTCTAGAAATGAAAATGGGTGGAATAGTTTTTTTTTTTTTTTTTTTTTTAAATGAGTTGTTGAAAAGGAAGGAAATTTTTTTGATTTACGTGTAATATTATTTTATGGAAGATTGTATGGTTGAAAATAGGAGAGAAAAAAAATGAAATGTAATGTTTCACTTGAAATTAAAAAAAAGAAGGGGTTATTGGACTTATTTTTAGGTTTTTTCCAAAGCTCTATTTAAACTTGAAAAAATGTTCATTAAGCCGAGCTGCTATGAAGAACTTGACCCAATAGCCCGTGTTTTCAGAAGAAGGGAAGCCACCGCTCATTGGTGGTGTGTGTGTCTTAAAATTCCTTGTGCCTTTTTAACTCTCACCTGCTTGTACATTAATCTTATATGTATATCATCCAAGAGCGCTTATTCATGTGCAGCATGGATCAAGGAAAATCCGGTGCAGTGCTCGATAAACTTTGGTTCAACTTGGATGCATCATCATTTGAACAGATTTTCTTCACCGCATCAAACTTATTTATACACGTGATTAAAAACAACATTGATCACACTCTCATCAGCTAAAGGAAATTAAAAACTTGTATATAATAATTGAATACAGATTAGTTGTGGGATCCAAGAGCAACTAATGTCTGCTCTTGTTTTTCTTCTATTATTATTTCCTCTTCAACCTCTTCTCCTTCTGAATGTTGTCTACGGTATCTTACTATTACTAGACACAGGAATGCTGCAAGAAACAATAAAACAAACACAATAAGTTTCAAATCTCATCCAAGAAATTAAACACTTGTGAATAAATTTACATAAGTACCGGCAAAAATTCGGGTTCTGATAGAAGTCAGATTCCAGAAGGCAGTCACAGCTGATGCTGCTACAATTTTCTTGTGAGAGCAAGCTCCCCATGTCTCAGACACCCATAATTTTAGACGCTCAACTGCTTATAAAAACAAAACAACAATTCTTTCAGCAAAAACAAGAGGGAAAAATGGACATTGAAATAATTGAAAAGGGGATTTTTTTTCTTCACCTACCTATTCTACATAGTTGAACAGAATAAGAGGAATACAGTTTTGGACCAGTAAAGCTTATGAAAAACCCTGCCAGATTCACAGAAACATCACAATGCAATGTAAATATTTTTGCAAATAATCCTATCTTTAAGGACATGTTTGGTACGAACAGTCCAATGGACAAGATATTCAGTGTTGTCCATTCAATTTCACCAAACATGTCCACAAGTGGCTAGGGGATTCTTGATGATCATACCAAGTGCACATAACCTCCAGAGGGTAATAATATGACCATATTCAGCTCCAATAAGGAATAATGGTACTACCTAATCGAGAAAGAAAATAATCTCAAGTAAGAATGGTTTTACAACCTACATAAGCAGGAAATCAGTAGCAACGACAAATGAAGATCATATAATTACTTTGAGGGTCGTGGCTGGTTCTCCTGAAAACAATTCCCTTGTTTTTGAAATTACAAGATTTGCAGCTGGAAGAATAAGCCTACCCACTTTCAAAATGTCGGCGTCTGTCAGCTTAAACTCGAGTTTAATCTCGTTAGCATCCCTGAAATATGATATCCACCTAGCACCATTTGTAATACAAGATCCACAATATAATCTTTAGCTTAACAAGATAGCGAAATGTGACTTACCTTTGCCGCATGGAATTGGAGAAGAAAGAGACGCCCAAAACCAGAAGTCCCAATTGAGATATCAACGAGAAAATACTATAAAAATCATATTATTGGGAAGTATTTAGGTCGATTTCAAATCAGAGGTCAACTGAAAATTAAAGGGAAAATAAGAGCAAGACATACCTAAAGTTAACACCCTTTGTAAAACAAGAAGATAAGAAACAAATCGACCCAAAGCCGAACCAAAGGCTTGATTTTGAGACATCTTTCCACATTACTAAATCATTTATAAGCTGCCCAATTTTGTTCAGATTGCACCCATCACCATCAATTGTTTCTAATCCCAAATCAACCACAAAATTATGAGTTCAAAAGTCGAAATAAAAGAATAATCGAACAAAAATTTGAGCACTATATACATACTTGGAGATGGGGTTGATGGGACAGAACTCAATTTATCCTTCTTGGATCTACCACTATGTCTCTTCTTTCTTGGCTTAACCATTTCTTCACACACACAAAACTCCTTGTCTTCTCTTATTTCTTGATCCAATCTTCTTCGTGATCTCCGGGTATTCCTTGGAGAAGCAGAATACCCCATTGCAGAATTTCTACTCTTGCATCTTTTCCGAACCCCATTAGGCTCAATTGCAGCCTCATCAGCCATTTCAAGCCTTTCAGCAAGTCGGGTTTTTGATCTTTTTAGAGGGGAAGGTGATAGCAATAGAAGCTCTCGAAGCGGGAGAGCATAAGGCGGCCTTGGGGACAAAGTAGATGCAGGTGATGAAGTGGATATTTTCGGTGAAGAAGCGACTATTTCAAGAGAGAGTTGAGGAATGGTTAATCCTGTTTCTTCACTGTAATGGCGGATTTGGGAGAGTCTTGAGGCCGATTTGGTTCGACTTCGGGTCTCAGATCGATGAGAAGGCGGTGTAGATTCCATGATTTTGATCTGATTCTGAGCTTAGATCTTGAAAATTTTCTGAGCTTAGATCTTGAGAATTTTCAGTTTCTTTCGATTTCTTGATTGAGAAGAGAGGGGTCTTGTAATGTATTTTCAATGAAGATTTTAAAGAAAACTAGCCGTTAGGGAGTATTATCTTTTGAATTTTTGGAACTGTAACGGCAAGTTTGTGGGTCACCTCTTTATATCCCAACGGTAAAGGAAATAATTGATTTAAGAAATGGGTAATAATATTGGTGTTTAACACGGTAGTACTAGTGTTATTAAATTAGTTTCAATGAAAAAAATCAAATAATTTCACATTTAATTAAACTAATTACATAATGTTATATAGACTGGTGCTAAATAGTGTTGTTCTTAAGGAATAAGAACTTTTTTCTGGGCTTTTGGCTTCTTCATCTTCTTCATTTTTTTTTATTTTTTTTTAAAGCAGTGTTTCTTTTTTTAACTTTATAATTATTTTAATCTGATTCTTGGATCCTACTTAACTAATTATGAGTTAATACTTATTAACTTTTTGTGTTATTAATTTATTAAGATGCTGAATGTGTATTTTACTATTTTTGTGTAGATGAAGCATGAGTCAATTTAAAGATTTGAATAGATTAAACTATTAGATATTAAAAACTGGCTAATCTAACTTACAGTAGTCGGATCATCATTTTTCAGAATGAGGCTTAATAACAAATTCAACTAGGGAAAATTACATGGAGACATTTTTTTAAGTTTCAACTTTTAAAATCATGTTTTAAGCTACGTTTTACAAAAATCAGATGATAATTTAACTTTTTAATATTAAAATAATATTATCATAAAATTTCATTAATAAACCACCCCCAAATCGAAATTTTGCTGAATTATATCGTATTCCCTCTCTCTCTCTCTCCCCCTCCCCCCCCCCCCCCCCCCCCCCCACCCACAAAACCAACAACACATACACCCACAAATTATAAGCGTTGCATCACGGTGGAAAGCACTATCGTGTGCAACGGCGAAGAGCACTATTACGCCAGAGTGAGGGCTTGAAGTGGCGATTCTGTCGTAGTTACTCTTTGAGCGGCGCAGTACTCATCGCTGTTGCTACATAAACCAGGCATTTTGTGGCTTGTTGCAGTGCAAGGAGGGATTTGTGTTTGAGATTCAGGGATTTTCGTGGGAGGAGCCTATTGTGCAATAATTGAGGTTTGTGGCGTGGAAATGGGTAGAGGTAGTGAAGTGGTGATGACGACGAGTAGTTTTGGTTGTTTTCGCGACATTGGCGGATCGAGAACATCCTTGCAAATATGGTATTCAATTATTATGATCTTGTCTCACCACGGCCATGAAATTGAGGTTGTGGTGATGGTGGCTTTTGATTTGATGTAGAGGTGGTGGTGGTGGTCGATTGTTTGTGGTTGTGGATTGGGGTACAAGTGGTGGTGATGATGGTGGCAGTGGTGCTTGTGGCCTAGGTAGCACCTTGCAGGTGGTGGTATATTTAAGGTTGTCTGCGACATATTTATTGTTGGATGTTTAACGTGGTGGCAGTGGTGCGGTGATGTGGGTGGTGGTGGTTAGGATTTGTTGAAAGTGATGGTGGTGTTCATTTGGTTGATGTTGTTGGGAGTGGTGGTAGAGACGATGAAAATCTAGTATGACCGAGCTTATCTTCATTCTGAGTGTCCGTGCCAGATCTATAATAATTGTGACTGTATATGACTTGGTTACATATAGTCACAAATTAAATTGATATGGTCACAGATAGTCAAATTAAAGATAAAATTGGTCACAATTAGTCACAGATAACAAAGGTTAGTGAATGTTGTAAAATTGGAGGTGAAGGTGGTAGTGACTGGTCGTGGATTGTGGTACTGGGATACAATGTATGAAGATTTGTTTATGGTGACTCTTTGAAGTCAAGTATGTGTTTATTGTAGAAGTCATGACTAATTCTATATTAACTGTGATCAATTGTGACTTGATTACATATCGTCACAGTAAATATTGAATTGATCATAGACAGTCACACTGAATACAAATTTGATTACAATTAGTCACAGACAACACATTTCGGTGACACACTGACTTGGTCACAGACGATCTGACCATAGTTAGTCACAGATAACACAGGTATGGTCACAAACTATATATCTAATTACATATAAAACAGTTAATTACAAAACTCGTCAACTACAATATAACACTACTGTCATCATGCAGTACTCAAAATGTTGCTAACACCTCACCACCACCACCACCAAACAGATTAACTGCAATACAACTTCATTACCTCCAATGCATTATCTCTGCCACAATACAGATCTATTTTTTAAACACAGCGCCACCTTACCATCACTACCACCATCTGTAAAGTTTTGTGTTTGAATATATATATATATAGAGAGAGAGAGAGAGAGAGAGAGAGCTTCTATGGAGAGAAAAGACAATTTTAAATTTTGGAGTTGTCGAAACGGTAGTTGGATTGATTATAGGAACAACCACTGGAAGGATCGCCGGAACAACCGTCGGAACGATCACCGGAGCCGATGGTTGTCTTTGGTGGAGAGGTGGATGGAAGGTGGTGTAGTGGGGTGATAGGATGGGATGGATGAAAGCTCGATCGCAAAAGTTATCCTCAGCCAATTTTTCAGTCCCATGGCCACCTTGATATTTTGGTATTATCACCTTCAAGATACAAAAACAAAAATCTACAGGAAGAGAAATTGATACCTGAAATGGTGGTTGATCAACACCTTCCTATTTGCCTAATTGTACTGGGCGTTTCGTCTACTCCGTCCGGTATATATGACCTGAAAAGTGAAGGCGGGGCTTCCTCCCCCGTTTTACCTCCGGTGTGAGAATTAGTTTATAGGCTTGAAAAATATGATTGGAATTTTAAGGAAGAACAAGATAGATCCAAAGAGAGAACCCTTTACCTGTGCTGCGTCGGAGGTATTTATAGACGTTAGGGGTCTGATAACCGCTGGGCAGATGTGGTGCCACGTGTCCCACGTTGGCGTTCCCACTACGCCCACGTTCTGAGTGGGGGATCTCTAGTTTTCCGCCTGGGGATTGTTTCCGTATTTAGCATCTATGGAACCTAGTTAATTCACTATGAATTTTATAGCTAAGTGTTTGGACAGGCAGTCCCATTCCAGTTGTAGACCTCGCGTGGTGGTAGAGCGCCCCTAAAGGGGTCGATGTCTTCGTGTAGTGGTAGAGCGCCCCTAGGGGGGGTCGATGACTTCGCGTAGTGGTAGAGCGCCCCTAGGGGGGATCGACGACCTCGTGTCGAAGTGCCTTGATCCATCTTGCTTGTCGTCGAGGGTGGTTTCCTCTATCAACCTATATCATTAGCCCCCTACCCCTTGTCGATGTTTTCGACAAGGGGTAGCAATTTTCTTTATTTTGGTTGGTTTGAAAATTTTCCTCTTCCCCATTTTTTTTTATATATATATAACAAAGGAGTAGTTCGTATTAATAAATCGAACAACGTAAATGTGATCGAGTGTAATTTTACTGCACACATGGCACCCCACCAATGGCCCCAATATTGGAGGGAAAATTCCCTCCAAAAGTTGAAATTCTTGTGTTTATAAAAAGGGGGGTAATTCCTATTTTTGAGAATCACTTTCACTTTCACTTAACATCCTAGGCCTCCTCCCTTCTAAGGTAATTTTCTCTCTTCTTTTAATCCAAAGTCTTGCTTTGAATTTTCTTCTCTTCATCTTCTTTGTTGTCATGTATAAAACGATTCTTTCTTCTTCTTCCAATGAGAAAAGTGATGGGTATAGTGACTTGACCGGACCTTCGTCGGAGGGTGTGGGAGGGGATCCAACCGACCCACGCGGGGACCGGTTGGCGACCAGCGGGGCTGGTCGACGGTCGACCAGCCAAAGGCCAGCCTTCGGGCTGGCCGTCCCCCGCCCTCTCCTAAGTTTCGCGGCCTACCTAGTCCATCGATTCGCCCTCTAGTGATTCGCCTCCTTCATCTGGTAGATCTCTTCATAATATTGATAGTGAAACTCATTCAATTGATTGTCAGGCGTTTGTTCCAAATCCTCCGAAGAGGCACATTAGTTCTTCCAAATTTCCAAATCAAAATTTAGAAGTTGGGCGAGACCCGGCTGGTGAGGTTGTCCCCCTAGATATCCCAAAAAGTTATAGTTTTTACAATTCACCACTTAAGTTGGAAAAATGTCTAGGTAAGTATGACCGGGTGGATGACTACGTTTATAGAGCCCCCGGTCCAAGAAAGACTCCCTGACCCCCGCGAGATAGCCGTGTACAAGGACGTTATGGACGGGGGTCTTCGGTTTCCCATTCATCCCTTTTTTGTGTCGATTTTCAACGAGTTCTACCTTACTCCTAGTAAGATTAACCCTAATGTGCGGAGAAAAGCGTTATATTTTCTATATGTCTGTCTTAAACGGGGAATTTCGCTTTCCATGGATCTTTTCAGGTGTGTCTTCGAAATGCATGAGCTAGTTCAGTGTAATGCATTTGTCTATTTTACCACTAGGGTTCCTTTGCAGTTTCCTAAGTTTAGAAATTCGAATAACGGATGGAAGTCTCGATTCTTCTTTGTCCGGCCTTCAACGGGTCAATTCTCTTTTAACACCAATTGGCGACACCCTCAAATTCGTCTTTTCAATAGCCAAGTAGAAATTACCCCCTTTCTAGAAGCTCAAATTCAAGAGTTGGTCGATGTACCGCCTTATGCACCTGACTTAGAATCAGTTCTGACTATGAAGAACATGTTGATAGTGGGGATGTGTCGTCCTACCGGTAGGTTATTTCCGTCGTTTTTTTTTATTGCGCGCACACACGTTTACTTATTATTTTTGCTCTTAGTTTGTCGGGACTAATGAGTTTGGATGTGTGTATTCAGGTATGGACTTTGATCTTGATGGGGTATTGAAGACTTTGTTAGGAAGCGATGAGGGGCATGCTTTTGTTGATGGTTAGCTTTTGTGCTCACCTTTTCCATCCTCCCCCCTTCAAATTTTTTTTTTTACTACCTTGTGACCTCAACGGATTCCAACTTATATGTGCAGGGACAGAGCTTGATCTTAAAGGGGTTATGGATTTCATGCCTGTCCATGGGCTGGA